ATCGTCCTTTTTAATGCAATGGCCCAGATTTCAAGTATAAATGGAATTCTCTTTAGCTATTTCATACCAAAATGTTACATCATAATATTCCAACCACAAAAGAACACTCCCGCATACTTTCAAACATCTATTCAGAATTACACCCAAACCATTAGTAGGACTTAGACATTAGTCTTTGTGTATCTACCTTATTTTTTAACATAAGAGCAGGTGCTATAGCTTTAATGTGCGAGGCATCCGGTCTCATTCCAGTTATTTTTGATGTACAAAAGCTTGATATTGCAAACCTGTATATGTTATCATATTATTTGAATCTTTTATAAAACACACTGATTTGTAGCGCAATTAGCTTTAGTTATTTATAGACGCGGATTAATCGATTATCCTGATTACATTCACTTCTACAACTTTTGAGTTGCAAAATAAAGTGGATATGATGTGAACTCTTATGTGTGAGTGGCCTTAACTATTATTTTACCACAATCTTAAAGAAACGCGTAGGAAATGAATGAGAATGGAGATCAATTTTGAGGTTCAGTCTGAATTAAGATACTATGTGAATTTTGAGAATAAAAAGCAGCATTAACACTCAAGTGTAATGTAATGTAAACATAATTGCTTGTTTTTAACTTGTAATAAAGACCACCTTCAAAACTTCCCTAACTTGGAGTATGGTATAATACATTTAAATATGCTATTAGTAACAATACTTTTCATTACAATTTGTTTTATCAGCATTACATTTTTGAACCTGTGAAAAAAAAAGTACATTTTTGAATGTCCTGGTGTGTATTTGGCATGTTTTGCTTAAATGACAGAATGAAATCTGACCTTAGCACATCACACATTTTGCAAACATTTGATTAGTGACCTACAAATATTAACAAATACATGTTTCATATTTGTTTTCTACATAACTTTTTACGATTTTCAAAATGCTAAAACTTATGGAGTAAACTGAGTACAGATTGAACAGAGGGACGGTTGAAACATGTTAAACTTGTGTGTGCTCTCCCTGAACCATGACTTCTTTTCTCCACACATGCATGGTAGTTTTCTCATCAACTCGTCACTTTATATAGACCTCAAATGTATGATTTATATGTAAAAAGGAACGATTTAAAAGCATGAAATGTACTCTTTAAAGTGACACAATCAAAATATAAAAAATAGAAACCAGCAAAATAAACTTACATTTCTCATGAACATCTATCTTTATTATGTAATTATATATTATAATGTCTCTCTGGTACACTCGACAATTTCTGACAGATTTGTCATAACACGTTTACTTCAGTTAAATAACCTTTACAAAATCATGCATGCATGCATACTTGTGACAACGTTTTTCCCCCCATGACAAGCCACATCCTCAAATGTTTTCCTGAATCTTAGCTATCTCTCAACCAATTCATGTCTTTCATTGTATCTAGCCACACAAAAAACTAGTTCACCCAAAAATGAAAATGATGTCATAAAAACTATAATTTCATCCATAGGACATAACATATATTTTGAGGGGAAATTGCAAATTGCAATCAGCGATAGAATTAGACAGATAACATTTTCAAGCAAAAGAAGAATCTTTGCAGCTGTAAATGAATTTCTTCTGTGTGAGATCCAATTCATTTTACACAAGGCAGAATAGGGCTGTGCTGAAGGCGACTGAGCACATTGAAGACTGTCCAGTCTGTCCTCACATGCTTCTTTGTCTACTAAGCCCTATGAATTCATGCAGCAACACTGATATGAACTGAATAAACAATGCAGAGCTCAATGAGTCATAAAATAATCTTTTAAGATATAACAGTCTTGTCACAGTGTCTGGTTTGTGTTTCCCAGGTAACTACCAGAGGTCCACTTCCCCCATTGTGTCATTCACTCAATACTACAATTCCCATCATCCTGTTTTGTCACTCATTGATCATTCCACACAGCTGTTTCCCATCACCCTGTTAGTATGTATGTGTATACCCTGTTTGTTTCAGTGTTTGTCACGGATTAGTTGTTATTTGTTACCACAATTCCGAAGATCTGTCTGCTTGTTTCTTGGTTCTTGTTTCTTGTTCTTGGACTGACTTGTATGGTATTTTACCCTTGCCTGGACTGGATAACGTATTACGGATTACCCAATAAATACCGCAATTGGATCTACTGTTTCCCATGTGTGTATCATGACAGAAAGACTCCATCATGCAAAGATCCAGCTGTATGGGTTTTCGTGTCTCTTCCCCAGCCACCGAGAGCGAGAGGAAGCAGCAGAGGGGGAACTCTTGGTCTGAAGAGCCAGAGCCGTGCATGACTTTATTTAGTGTTTTGCCTTTTGGGCTTGTCAGACATGGAGAACATGGTGGTCAACTCCCCTTAGCCCCCTTCCAGCAGCCCAGCTGACACCCCCCTCCATAGACGATATTTTGAGGGAACCCGTCTGGCCGAGTTTTCTGGGACTCGTGGAGGCCACAGGGGAGAAGGTCGTCGAGATGGACCCTTACACCATCCTCCACTTTGCCCCCTCTTCGACCCTGGGTCGTTGCTTCTGCCCAGCCCTGAGCTCCCTTCACCGCTGGTAGCGTCCAGCCCAGAGCCTGCACCTCGCAATCAAGGATGGTGGAGGAGGAGGAGGACTTCCTGCCTCTCCAACGTCCCGGTGCAGCCCGCAGTCGTTCTGGTAGTCGTTCCCGAACAGCCTGTTGTCATCCTGGAGGCCGTCCCAGTGCAGCCCGCTGTCGTCCCGGTAGTCGTTCCCGAACAGCCTGCTGTCATTCCGGAGGCCGTCCCAGTGCAGCCCGCTGTCATCCCGGTAGTCGTTCCCGAACAGCCTGCTGTCATTCCGGAGGCCGTCCCAGTGCAGCCCGCTGTCGTCCCGGTAGTCGTTCCCGAACAGCCTGCTGTCATCCCGGAGGCCGTCCCAGTGCAGCCCGCTGTCGTCCCGGTAGTCGTTCCCGAACAGCCTGCTGTCATCCCGGAGGCCGTACCAGTGCAGCCCGCTGTTGTCCTGGTAGTCGTTCTCGAACAGCCTGCTGTCGTCCCGGTAGTCGTCCCAGTGCAGCCCGCTGTCATCCTGGAGGCCATCCCCATAAAGCCCTCTGTCGTTCCGGTGGTTATCCCTGTGCCGCCCACTGTGCAGGGACGACCATCCCAGAATTGCCCATCATCAGCCCAGCTACAGCCAAGAGGGTGGTCTTCCTTTTTTATGGATTGGCTGTTCTACATGCATGGAGGAAGTATGTGAGTTCTGCCGATCCAGATACTGTTCACATCTGCTGATCCAGAGACTGCCGTTCAAGTTACGTCCGCCGGTTCAGACACTGTTCACATCACGTCTGACACGGCCAGGAGGGCCTCTTTGTTTTTTATGCATTGACTGTTCTGCATGGAGGATATGGTTTCTGCCGATCCAGAGACTGTTCACGTTAAGTCTGCCGGATCAGACAATGTTAAACGAAAAAAAAAGAAAAGAAAAAAAAACTCAAACCAGAAATGGATTAACAAGAACATAAGTCTGAGGAAAACTAAAACAGGATATCCACAGATGCAGCAGAACAGGTAAGTAAAGAAACAATCCAAAACAGGTAAGTCCACTATTTCCGCAGGGGATCAGTCTAGGAATCAGATACGAGGCCAGGCAATGGAGAAATAGTGAGAAGATCCTTTATAGTGTGACATGACACGAGCGGGTGAGTGAGAGAATGCAGCAGTGAGGGAGGACCCATGAAAGACCTTTACACAGTTATTGAACCGAACTCTTGTTCCGAACATGACCTTCTTCTGAGACTGCGAAACAGATAAAAGATTTTGAAGAACATGGTAACCGAACAATTTTGGTGACCATTGAAGAAGATACAATTGACCATTATAGACCATTGACCATTATAGACATTTCTCAAAATACTGTATCTTCTTTTATGAGATGTTCCATCTCTTTTAACTACCAATAGCGGTAGCAAAGCTCACTAGTCAACATTATGTCACAAATGCTGAGCTAAACTTGTTTTGAACCTGGAATATTCTTCTAAATTAGTCAAATTTGAGTTGAAAGTACTACTCAAATTGTGCATGCTTAAGTCTGCAGCCTGTAGTCATCATACAAGCTCAGTGCATAAAAAACAATACCTATTTGTCAGCTGAGAATAAATGTAGAAATGCAAGTGAAAAAAGAGCAGAATAGGGTGGTTGTTTAAGGAGAAACTGAAATTGTCTTTGGCAAGCCCTGAAGTAAAGCAACACCACTGGTGTTAAATAATTGAAGCCCAGTTTTGAACGTGAAAATGCTGCGTTGATTCAAATCTCAAAGAAACTCTTTTACACAATCAGCACATGGTTTGTCTAGTCAAGCGTACGGTTTCAGACGAGGTTTAGTGCCAGAGGTGCAGTCCTTTGGCAGTAACAATATCCATATGCAAAAGGATCACATGATTCTATATAGATCAGGAGGAGGCAGCTAGACAAGATGCCCCACATGCATAGATTAGTAACTGTGTAACCAAAACACTGAACATGTTTATTGTCAACATTTCTGCAGGAGATATGGTTGTCACACTTTTTGAGCAATGATTGAGTAATCATTTCCATAGGTCTGAGCAATTTTGCATTGGTTTTGAGCAATCATTTCCATAATTATTGATCAGAATGATACAGTTTAACACGATGACCCGCACCAAGTTGTGCACTGATATTTATTGGCACAGGTAATGAGATTTTTATATCTGTCATCAAAAAAAAATAAGCTTTAAGGTCTTCTTTTAAAAGCTCTATGGAGCTTTATGGTTTAACATTAAATCCATAAATATTAGTATTGTTATGCTGTTCTGTAAATGGATTATTTCATTATTTAGCCTATTACTACAATGTTAATATATTTTTCCTCCTCGTTTTGAACAGTTTATATTGTTAAATAAAAAAAAGTGTGTTATGTCGTTGTGTGTCATAATAGGTGCATTATAAACATGTTCTTTTTTTATTCACACGTCAGCGAGCGCGCCCCTATTCCATATAAAGCGGTGATGCACAGATGCTCATCACAGCTTCACATTCAAAACGGACGCAATTATTCAGTGTTTTATGCCAAGTATAGGTTTGAGAAATGACATCAAATGAAACGAATCTGATGACAAAACTTTGGACTAATCGTGTTCTGGACAACAGAACCCAGCTGATACCGCTCAACAGCACAGATTCCCCGCCGGTGGATGATTTGGATGTGAACACGGATATTTATTCCAAAGTGCTCGTGACGTTAATCTACGCGGTGCTGTTTGCAGTCGGTTTAATCGGCAACGCCATGACCCTTTACATATCCCTCCAGAAGAGATCCATCAAACATCTCCAAGGGACCGTCCATTATCACCTCGCCAGTCTCGCGGTGTCGGACCTGCTCATTCTGGTGCTGTGTATGCCGGTGGAGCTGTACAACTTCATCTGGGTTCACCATCCGTGGGCTTTCGGTGAGGTGGTCTGCAGGGGCTATTACTTTCTGCGGGACGGCTGCTCGTACGCGACGGCGTTCAACATCGTGAGTCTGAGCGTGGAGCGCTACATGGCGCTCTGCCACCCGTTCAAAGCCAAGAGTCGGATGTCTCGCGGTCGCACAAGGAGATTCATTTGCGCGCTCTGGTGCGCGTCGCTCATTCTCGCCTCACCGATGCTTTTGACAATGGGGCAAATTTATGTAGGTGAAGAGAGCATCTGCACCACCGTAGCCTCCAACAACACCGCCAAAACTGTTCTACAGGTGGGCATGAAGCTATTTCACCCATATTAGTTCATTTGTTGTCGGTGCTCCTTTAGATGGCACTAACAATACAGTAGATTGATTATTATCAATTATTAGCAGCATTTTTTCATCTTGGTACCTGGAGTCCCATGTAAATGCCATGAAATGACATATATAGAAATATATATAAAATATATATGGATTTTTTTCATTTAAAGCTGGAAATAAACAGTTAATCGTTTTCAGAATGTAAAAATGTTGCAATCTAACATTGTTATCAAACAAAGAATAAAAATTTAGGATTTTGCATTATTTGTAATTAAACAAATTTGTTTGACAACTTCTGTACAGATGGTCAAATGTTCTTGATTCTACTGAAGCACAAGAGGCTCTACATTTCTCCCAAATCATGCTGGAGAGATGAGGTTTTGTTGAGTTATGTCAGCTTGAGTGCTGCTGCCATTAAATAATGGCAACATAAATAATACGATTTTTTTTTAAATTACAGTTTAGCTTATAACTTGGGGGTAGATTTGTTAATATTTATTTACTTCAATACAGCTCTTTTCCATTTGTCTATATGTCAGGTTTGCTTTAAAATCTTACCAAGTCTACAATGACAGATGATCCAGTAAAGCCTGAGAGAGTGTCTAAGATGTCTAAATGTCTAAGAGAGTTAGTGATACATGCAAGGTTGCTGCATGGCATGCCAAAGACAGTACCATGAGCCCTCAAAACTGTCACTTGTGATTTAACTTAAACTTCTTGAATTGAATCTGCTGAGCAAAAAAAAAAAAATATGCAACTCTATTAAAAATGTCTATTTAGATATGGTAACACATGTGTATACTGAACAGATACATTTTTCACATGGACAAGCTAATTTCACAATACTAGCTGGTAAAAATGCACTGAAGTAAACCACCCTGTATTTGTGGGAGGGAGGAAGAAAAAGAGGAAACCTTAAACTTCAGAGCAAATCAATCAATAAATAAATCAATCAATCAATCAATCAATCAATCAATCAGTATGACACAGTAAAGAGCAAAGCAGACAAAATAGAGCAAAATGAGACTGCACTAACTGACCAAACCATAGAGGTCACGCCAATTCGTATTTCCATTTTTGGCGAGCTATCAAGACGCATAATCGCTTTTCAGCGTGTTTATGAACGCCGTTGACTTAACGTTATTACTGTATATATAAATATATGACTTACCTCAACCCCGTCCCTAAACCTAACCGTCGCTGGGGTTCATGGCATTTATGACTGTTCCCTTACCATCCTAGGAAAAAAAGATCGCTCCCCAGATGTAGATCTACATTTTGTTTCGTTTTGCGCGGACATTTGACGGCGTGTACAGACACGCGGAATCACTCAGACGTTAATGGTGTAGACATACACGCATACACATGGATACACGCGGATAGCTCAAAATGCGTAGAGATAACACGCCACTTGACTCGAAAGTGGCGTGTATGTTTACGCAAAGATCATGATGTCATGTTGTTGGTTCAGGTGTGTCCAAAAGGATTTCTCTCCCTTGTATCTTGGGAAATAATCATTACACCTTAACCTTAATATTTTGGTCCCCACTTTTTGAATATTGCCTATTTCAGTGTAAGTGTTTTTCCTTACAGGTCAATGCCCTTCTCTCTTTTGTTGTGCCAATGCTGGTGATCACTGTGATGAATGCCCTGATTGGACATAAGCTCCAGAGAATGACCCATCATGACTTACACTGTTCAACGCCTTCAGATGTTACAACAGAGACAAACCGTGAGCGTTCCCTACGCCATAGCATCAAAGTCCTACGTAAGTAAAAGAAATGCCTAATTTTACCAAAATGTTTAGTAATTATAGGTAGTGGGGTGGTGATGGTGCAGTTGATAAGACACATGCCTTTGGTGTGAGAGACCTGGGTTCGAATCCACTGTGAGACACCAATGTGTCCCTGAGCAAGACACGTAACCCCTGGTTGCTCAAGAGGCGTGCGACCTCTGACATATATAGAAATTGTAAGTCACTTTGGATAAAAGCGTCAGTTAAATGAATAAATGTAAAGGTTTATTTAACTACTCTACAACTGATTGTGTCTGATATTTGGTAGTAGCTCAAGGTTTGGTGTCTATGGCCCTGGTATCTTCTGATGCCTGCTCCCCAAGAAGGTGCTTCCTTAAGCCATAACTAATAACATAGTCCAGCAGAGGGAGGGTGGGGGCTCTGGAGGAGGGCGCATAGTCAGAAACAGATGGAAGATGGGAGGAGCTCGCACATCATGGTGGAGATGATGGAGGGAGGAGCCAGGGAGAAGATGGAGGGAGATCCAAATGATGACTCTGAGTACAGCCAAGACCAAGGCCCATGGTGGAACTGATAAAGGGTGAAGTCAGCGATCCGACCACCCGTGGTGGAGCCGAGGTGACACAGAGACCGGGCAACACCGTAGGTCCTCGTGGCCAAGGTGGAGCCGCAGTGACAAGTGGCCGAGGTGGAGCCGGGGTGCTGGTGGACTGAGGTAGAGACCGGAAGACCCGAGGTGGAAAGGTTGTAGGACGGGGCCAACAGAGGAGCTGCCAAGGGATTGAAGGGAGTCAACGGAAGCAGGACTGAAGGACTGCCTGGCTTACTGTAGGTTGAGGAGGCTGGAGAGGGAAGCTGGGTGGGACCATCATTGACACAGGAGACTTGGATGTAGCTGACTCTCAGCAGTGGCCCTTCCATCCCCTCATACTCCACAAGCACACCCACTGGCACAGATGTTGTTGCCGGCTCACAAACCTGATCAGATTCTTCGTTAGGCTCAGGCTCCGAGGTAATGATATGCTTTGGCATCACCTGGGGTAGAGGCCTCGTGGCAGGCTCAGGCTCTATGTCTACGATTGGCTCTGGCATTGGCTCCATGCAGGGTATGGGAGGTCGGTCTGGGTCCGGAGTGGGGTTGGTGATGTCCTCCTCGGTGGGATTGACGGTGAACACAGATAGACAATTCAACAGCCCGCACTCAACTCTTAAGGCATGCCTTGCACGCACCGATCATTTAAGCTAGTCCAAAAACACACACACACATGCAGGGAGAGGTCGGGGAAGGTGGTGAGGCACATCAGGTCTGAAAAGTCCTGAAAAGTTCCGATGCTTCTGCTCCAAGCAAAGCAGGTGGACAAGTAAGTCTATTTTATCTCTGCAATCAGCACACGACAAAGGAGATACTAACGCAAAAAGTCTGTAATAAAATTCCGAAATATGGCAGTAATATGCAATATGACTGTGTACAAGCGTGCAGCGGCTTCTCAAGCTCCTTTTGTACAGTGAGCTTTTGTACAGTGACTGTGAAGGCAAGTGCATGTGCTGTTAAGTTTGTTAGCTATACAGAGCTGCCTAAGCTGTCCCTTACTAAAGCCCTGTGCTGAAGACAATGAAACCAACCCAAAAGACAATTACTGTGTGGCCACATGATGCTGTGTCTATATTCCAGTATTGCTTTGCTTATACTGACTGGCAGATTTTCAAGGAAGCAACAACGAACTCTGGGACATGTATTTGGATGAATATGCATCATCTGTCACCAGCTCTATTAGTGGTTAAGTGAGTGAATGATGAACATCCACCAGAACATTTACTATCCATCTGAATCAGAAACCTTGGCTAAATCCCGAGGTCAGATCTCTTCTGAGAGCTCGGGACTCTGTGTTCAGGTCGGGTGATGCAGTCATGCTCAGAGCGGTAAATTGACTGGAGGCATTAAAAAAGCCAAAGCTCTGTAAAGATACAGGGTCATTTTTCTACCCCAGAGCATGTGGGAGGGCATCAAGGCCATCACAGACTACTGCTGTAGAGACACTGAAGGCTCAATCCATCTCTTCCTGATGCTCCCAATACCTTTTATGCTTGTTTTGAAGCATGCTTTCATTCATCTTTGGAACACAAATGAAGATCTTTTTGATGAAATCTGAGAGCTTTTTATCCCACCTTACGCAACTGACACTTTGAGGCTACATAAAGAGATTGTTAAAATAAAATGAATTGAGCAGTTTAGTCCAACTTTTCTGAAGAGTCTTGATCGCTTTTTATGATGAACAGATTGAACTTAAGCATTTATTCACATATAATTCACATATAAATGATCAGCAAACATAAAAATAAGCTCAACCGAACCTGCTTGAATGCAAGAACAAACCTCTTGCGAAACTCAAATGTGCTGCGTAACATGAGAATGAACCTCATTGGTTCTTGCGGAAGCTCAAACGTGCTGTGTAACACAAGAGAATGAACCTCATTGGTTAACAAGAGAATGAACCTCATTGGTTAACAGGAGAATGAACCTCATTGGTTCTTGTAGAAGCTCAAACGTGCTGCGTAACACGAGAATGAACCTCATTGGTTCTTGTAGAAGCTCAAACGTGCTGCGTAACACGAGAATGAACCTCATTGGTTCTTGTAGAAGCTCAAACGTGCTGCGTAACACGAGAATGAACCTCATTGGTTCTTGTAGAAGCTCAAACGTGCTGCGTAACAAGATAATGAACCTCAATGGTTCTTGCGGAAGCTCAAACGTGCTGCGTAACACGAGAATGAACCTCATTGGTTCTTGTAGAAGCTCAAACGTGCTGCGTAACATGAGAATGAACCTCATTGGTTCTTGTAGAAGCTCAAACGTGCTGCGTAACAAGATAATGAACCTCAATGGTTCTTGCGGAAGCTCAAACGTGCTGCGTAACACGAGAATGAACCTCATTGGTTCTTGTAGAAGCTCAAACGTGCTGCGTAACATTAGAATGAACCTCATTGGTTCTTGCGGAAGCTCAAACGTGCTGTGTAACACAAGAGAATGAACCTCATTGGTTAACAAGAGAATGAACCTCATTGGTTAACAGGAGAATGAACCTCATTGGTTCTTGTAGAAGCTCAAACGTGCTGCGTAACACGAGAATGGACCTCATTGGTTCTTGTAGAAGCTCAAACGTGCTGCGTAACATGAGAATGAACCTCATTGGTTCTTGTAGAAGCTCAAACGTGCTGCGTAACAAGATAATGAACCTCAATGGTTCTTGCGAAAGCTCAAACGTGCTGCGTAACACGAGAATGAACCTCATTGGTTCTGTCAGAAGCTCAAACGTGCTGCGTAACACGAGAATGAACCTCATTGGTTCTTGCGGAAGCTCAAACGTGCTGTGTAACAAACGAGAATTAACCTCATTGGTTAACAAGATAATGAACCTCAATGGTTCTTGCGGAAGCTCAAACGTGCTGCGTAACACGAGAATGAACCTCATTGGTTCTTGCCATCAAGTGAACATGCTTGAGCTTCTGTTTACCACAACTGATGTGCGAGTTGATGAATTCAAGAGTTCACACTTACATATAACTAAATAGAGTAAAGGTTATGCGTATTTGGCGTGCTGTCTGAGGGGATTGCTCCAAGCTCGGAATTTGGTCCGAGCCCAATAAAGTGGATATCAACACTCTTTAGAGTGCCTCTGTCTTGTCCAGTCAGATTTCAGGGTCAGAACTGTTGAATAATTCATTATATTATATTATATGTTTTTACTAGTATCTAATTGTAATTTTTATTTCATGCGAGTACACATTTTAATCAGTGGTAAAATCTTTAATTTCTTGGTTTCAATAGTTGATTGCCATATTATGTTTTTTCTCTGTTATCAGGTGGAGTTGTTTTTGCTTTTGTTTTATGTTGGTTTCCTTATCACTGTCGCCGACTGATGTACTGCTATGTAACGGAGTGGACAAAGTGAGTTATGCATTTGCATATAAATATATTTGCACAAAAAAAAATAGCTTTTAAAATAATTTGCCAATTTTGTAACCTTGGTTTTGTTTTTCCCTACAGTGCATTTTATGATTTCTACCATTACTTTTACATGGTGACAAACGTACTTTTCTATGTGAGTTCTGTGATCAATCCCATCCTTTACAACCTGGTCTCGTCCAAATACCGGCAAATGTTTTTTTCCACTGTCACTTACTTTTGCCAGATGTACTCTAAAAGCCAGAGGACTAACAAGAGCAAAAGCAGCTTACAACTATCACAGCACCTTCGTTCATCTCTGGTCACACCCCGTACCAGCCAACAGACCCTTTATCCCATAGTGGTCATGGAGACTATGTACTGATGTGAATTCTCTTTTAGACTTGTTGACTACAAATTGCTGTTTTGTTCCATCAGTGTTGAGGGACAGCATTGAAATTATTCTGCATAATTTCAGAACAAAGGGCGTGCAGAATTGTCAAGTTTTTGACGAACGTTTTGACTTTCTGAATATGGAACATTATGCACTATACTGTCAGTGTGCACTAAAAGTGCAAAAGTGCTGTTTCAAGTGAATGTGTGCATAGCTTACTGCAGAAATACGGCACGTTTTCATGGCACAAGAGGACAGCACTATTTTGTTATACTGCTGGTAAAGAAAGAACACAAGATTCTTTTCAATATTATTTAGTCATTTATGTGTGTAAATCGCTATTTATCATTTAATTGTATTTCATTTTTTTATGATGTGTGTGAGTTGATTATTGTTTTCCAATCAAAATCACAGAACATGCTCAAAATCCTTAGTTCATCTCTCTCTCATGATGTCACGAAATGGGCGTGGGCACGAACTGGTTGGCAGAAAGAACCAAAACATACGCAGCAGTCCATGTGTTCTGTCAGCATATGATAATTCTTTGTACGAATAAGTTAAAAGGATATATAAAGTAAAGCTTTTATATAACCAGGGTTCATTTTCTCTGCCTAATCTATATCACCTGAGTGAGAATTGGAGCAAAAGCCCGAACACATGGCCAGATTTGACATTCGGTACCTGTATCTCATCGACACGCCATCTGTTTACCAGAGAGTCAATGAAGGCGTACAAATCTTTAGATGCCTATAAGTCATAATTACGAATATTACTTGTGTTAACTAAGAATAACTGGTAAATTTGTTACAACTAGAGCAAATAGAAGTGTAATTTCATTTGTCCATGGGCTATATTTTGAATCAAAATGATCCTAAATCGATATTGGTCAACATAAAAATGTATCAAAGAAAATACAATAATTTGCCCTTAATCTATAAGGGTATGTGTACACAGATGATACACCATACAGTGCCCAATCTTTGGGTTAACTTATGTCTTTATAATACTGTGCAGCAAGCGGCCATTGCTTTTCTGCCAACCAGAGCACATGTAACCACGTCGTGACGTCACAGGCGAAGATCCCTATTGTACGAAGTTACACATATAATTCTTCATATGGGATATTGATTGCAAGAGGTTGGACTGGATTTTGCTATATAAACTTTATAATAAATTCTACAAATGCTAGTCTCATACAGACAAACTAACACATAGTATAACATTATAACGTGACCTGCTCAAGTTAAAAACAGCAATGTATTCACCCCATAAATATTATTAGATCCATCAGCAAGATGACAAGTTCCATAATTCCACTTATCTATCATAAACTTACGCCTTTGTTATTGTGAGAGGTTAGCGACCTCTAGCTGCAAAAAATAAATAAAACATTGTAGCTTTTGTTTTTAATCTTTACATTCCATTTATAATTTGTTGTTTTTGGATTTATTTTGTTTTTGGAATTGTGATTTGTTTTTCACTTCTCGGCCACCGTACACGCCACTGGAGAGGACTTGTGAATGGCAGTGAAGCGACATCATGTAACTGAGGCTGGTAGGTCACATGATAATGACAACATGGCGAATGGTAGTATGTCATCCAGATTACATTCATACTACACACTCTCATACTATGTAGAATGTCCTTTTTAGTGGTCATGTATTGATTTCAGATGCAACCTTATAATGTCTCCTTTACTTGCCAAAAATGTCAAGCACATGGCAAATAGATTTTAATTTTATTGGCCGAAGTGGATGTTACATCCCAGACAGCAAAATAGTGTCAGGCCCAGATATGGGCCACATCTGGAAAATGTGGATTCTACGCATACCAGATGTGTGCCGGATCTGGGCCGACACTATGCTGTTTTTTGTTATGATATTAGTAAATAATAAACTAAATGGTAATTCCAAAAAAATAATTATACTAATTTAGTATATTTTTTTGGTTTTGAACATTATTGTATTTTAAATGCAATTTTCTTCAAGTCATTATATAAATGACAATGTTCCATACAGGGTTAAAATAATTTTCTCAGCAGACTAATGTCCCTTTGATATAAAATGGGCACAAGTTACTGCCTCAAAATTACACATCTCCTTGCATGATGTCTCGCTCTAAAAGAAATAGTGGGGACATTCTTTTGGAATGTTTTATTCATTACATTTTATAAGCGATTCAAATCAAATAAATCTAATTCTAATGGCTATCCTAATCAAAGAAACTAAATATAATATATAAATATAGAAACAAAAATTCTATTATAAGGGTAACTTGAAATACACACGTTAAATAAAGGCCACCAGCAAATGGTATGGCCAGCAGCATAGCATCGAGCACAAGTAACGTAAATAAAGCGCACGTGAAGTGGGCGGGAAAAATATTCATTGTTGATGGACGTTGAGCGGCAAAAGGTAGGCCTACAGTAGCAGATGTCTAAACTTTTACAATTATTATTTTTTTAAGAATAAAGCACATTTTACGGGATACTGAGGTGAAACCGCTTCTAAAGACGGCAAAAATCCAGGTTTATTGAATTGGTTAGCCTTACACAAGATGGTGTCTCAAAAACTAGCGAGCTCTCGTATAACGTTAACTGTTAAAAGTTAACATAGCTAGCAGCTACCCAGGCTACTAAGTTAGGTATTCTCGGGTATCATAGGCGCGTCCCGAAAGCACAAAATGTTTGGCTATCTAGTCAGCATTTTGGAAGACAATTCAAACATCTGAACGTTAACGTTACCTATTTAGGTCGGCAGCTAACTGACGTTATGTTTTGAGACAAACTAGAGCCTGATAAATAAACAAATCTAGCATCAGGCCTTTGTACTTTGATAACCAGTAACTCAAGTAAAACATTGTGAGAATGTCTTATGTTACTGTTTGATGAATGACTACGTAGTACGTGTAACGTTTTATATATCATATGGCATAAACGCAAATAAGCTCAAAAAGTTTCACGGTCTCCCATGACGACGTATATTTTCTCAGACACGGCACACATCACGATGTTTTATTCCCAACTCTTCGTCTCTAAACGAGGCACACTAGCCAAGATCTGGCTTGCAGCCCATTGGGAGAAGAAAATAACCAAAGCACAAGTGTTTGAATGTGACCTGGAGGCCACGATCAAGGAAATCCTATCCCCCCAGGCAAGATTTACCTAGTTAATCCAAATATTGACTATAAACCAGCTATCTATTTATTAACTTAATGTTACAATTAAGTGTAAAGCTAAATTAGAAGAAGTCAAATAAGAATTTTGTGTGTGTGATCTAACTCTGTGATTTATTACCAGATTAAAATTGGTCTGCGAACGTCAGGTCACCTTCTTTTAGGAGTCGTCCGGATATACTCGAAGAAGACCAGATACCTTCTCTCAGACTGCAGTGATGCGTTGGTCAAAATTAAAGTGGCTTTTCGGCCAGGTAAATGCAGCCTGTTCTATCTGTTCATGACAGCGCAGAATGAGCAAACATTGCACTGTATGAGAACTGCAACTTCAATACTATTTATTTTCCCCCCCATAGGACAGACAGACCTGCCCAATGATGCAATGGAGGCCACCTTTAAAACTATCACTCTTCCGGAAGACTTCACTGACTTTGAAACTCAGCTACCTGATCCCAAGTATTGTGTTTATCTACAGCACTGGATCACAGCTCTTCAGATGCATTTATTCTGATGTACTAGTGTTTTTATGACCTTTTTGGCATGCAATGTCTCACCCAGGACCATTGATGTGGTAGACCACTTCTCTTTGAATCAGTGCCGCACCGAAGATATTACTCTCAAGGAGAACTTTGGGAACCACTTTCTCAACATTGAAGGAATAGGTATCAACTCTGAATTATCAATAAAACGAAGTCGTTTTTACATAGTTTAGGCAAAACCATTAATGTCTCTGTATTTATTCAAAAGGGGAGGAGAACCAGTCTTATCAAGGATTGTTTGATCAGAGTTTCAGTGTCCATGGCGACTGCTTTGGTGATGAGGAAATGGCTGTTGACCTCATCGGTGAGTTCATCACACTTAATATTCATGCTTTACATGCTAATGAAATGATTTTTTTTAAAGGTAACACGTAACCAGATATTACTTTTTTTCCATAATGCAGCATGTTATTCAAATGATTTGTTTTGTGCACAATAAGACTAGTTACCATGAATGTAATAGAGATTACTGCAATGATTGCAAATAATTAAATGTTTTTAAAAAAAATAGGGATATATCAAAATACAAAAAAGGGGGTTTCAAGTATGTTTTCAATGTGTATTGTATCATTTCTTTACCATCAGAAGTGACTTTTGAGAAGTGGCTATTTTTATACTATTGACTACTGACTATTAATTTTTAAACACGTTTGAGAAACCAGGCTACCTTATATGGCTCATTGTGAACATTAATATGGGCATTATTGTGTGTGGAGCATGGATTACGAGTCCCTTGCGTTTTTGTGCTTTTCGGTACATTTGAATTTGTACAAACACATTTGCCTAATTTTTGTCTTTATTAAAAACCTTAAAACCTCATCAGTGATCACCTTCCCACTTCTCTGAGTTCAAGATTTGTTTTCCTCTTTTTGTTTGTGGTCTATCAAGATTTTATAGCAAGTAATACTGAGGATGCTCTGATGCCTGACTTGTGTGATGGCACTCCTGAATTACCAGCTACACCTCCTCCAACTGCTGTCAGTGCAGGTAATTGTTACTTTTTGTTTTAGAGGTCATTTAATGCCATTTTTGTACAAGTTAATATGAATATTTAGGGTCTAAATGAAAACTTAGTAATATACTTTTATTAAAAATTCTCATTAGTATTTTAAGAAAACATTTATTTTACCTGGTCAAAAACAGCTGTTTTCAGCACGCCGTTTCAGTGCATTTGCCTTAAATAATAATGAGCTTCGCTCACCCCGTCCCTCTGTTTTGCGGGCGTTTTGACACAACAAATGTAAAGCGTTGTCTTGACAACAGTTGAGGGTATATTTTGGAGAAAGAATGGCAGCGCGAGTCTCTGAGGATACATCTGTGCAACGTATCAATTTGAACTGGAGTCGGACCGGGAACAAGATGATGGCCGTATTTACAGTGCCATAGTATTAATAAACTTAAAATACAGACATGCACATTCACACACAATTTAAAATAAAATTGATAAAATAATGACAATGAGAAGAAAGGTAAAAGAAAGTACACAATGATTTGTTTTGTCATCTAAGTGTTGTATGTCTTGCTGGCGTTCTTCTAAGGTCCTCTAATAAGATGCATTATTGCATAAGTTGCATTCATGCATATTTCTGTCATGCCGAATAAGTCTGACAAATCCAGTTTACAATGTGAAGTGAATATAAATGAATTATTATTATTATTTTCGAAATTAGGTAAAATTGTCATGCATTGAAATAAAAATATTAAATCCGAAATGTAATAACTAACACATTCATTTCATTTTTTTATTTTGATTTTCATTTACACATCACCACATTTTCAATGATTCTCAAACGACTCGCACATGAATCAATCTCTCTAAATCCCCTCTTTCTGCGAGCTACTCTGCTCTGATTGGCAGACAGCTCAGTCTGTTGTAATTTGTCTACTGCCTAGAGAGCGCGTGTTCAGAGAATGTCTAATTGAAGAGAATTAGCACTGGCTGGTTACTTCCGGTTTCTGGACTGGCTGCAGTAACACGTCTCTGTCCATGCGGGGGGCGCTCGTGGTCGAGTGCAGAATGAATGGGAGTCAATGGGGTTTCACCCCCAGAAATCCACTTTTGTCAGGATGTAATCTTAAAGTTGCATTCAAAAGGGAGGGCTAAGAAAATACTCTCAGCTGAAAATTGCATTTTTAAGTTCACTTATCTGTTCTAAAAATCCATTCAAAACTGTGATGATGTCAAACAATAGCAGAATTCTAGCATGTTCCGGCCAACAACGGCCTAACCTGTAAGAAATCAAAAGGACATAAGTACTCGTTCATTCGACTTTTGGTCTATAATCTATGTTGAACTTGTGGAGTCAACAATAAAATCTATGTTGATTTAACGACAAGCAGGTGAAAGACACATTTAGCCTTTTAGCTCCATAGACACCCATTCATTCTGCGCTCGGCCGCGATCACCTCCAGTGGAATTCTAATGGAACTGCAACCAAGATGATACACAATGGGGCTAATAGGAAGTGCCAAGGCTCTCCGTTAGACGGGCTCTGGCGTGTTTGAAAACAAAAACGGCCATAACAACGTCAGCTCTGCTTGTCCCAATGTTTCCTACACCGTAAACTAAACAGTTACAAAGACGTTGATTTTACCATATCAATCTGAGTGCGAGTCCAATGATGATACATGGGAGGAACTAGTTATTCAACCCGAACCTCCATCACAAGGACGACTCGAGCAGTGCTCATTTTGAGGTACATTGAGATGTTGCGAACTCCTCACCATCAGCATTAACAAGTGTATGTCCATCAACGAAATAACAAAGATTATTTTACTTTTACTTATTTATTTACAGAGTATTTTTCTCAATTTATTGCGGTGAACATGTGTATCAATAACAGTGCATACATTAGCTGAGCTCTAGCGTTGAATGACTAATGTTGCTGTACAGCATCCTCGGGAATCAGCTGCAGTGTCTGAGGGCGTTCAAGTTTTCCCTGGTGTCTGCGCACGCATTAAGTGGGCTGACAATATGCTAATGTTTCGTCTTGACGTCACAACGAAACAGCTAATGACTCGTTTGAAAAATGATTAATTTCATTGTCTCATAGTCGACTCTTTTGAAAGACAATAACTTTATACACGGTGCACTTTCAGATGACTTTCACTTAGAGGCACTTTAATACCTGACTATAATATGACAAATTCCTAATATCTGATTGGTTATTTGGGTGTACAGTTACAATCGAGCAATTTTCCTTCTGTTCCAACATGAACATTTACCACTGTGTCATTCTCTTACAGAGCCAGAGTCTGCGAAAACAGGACTTTTAAATGGTAGAAGCAGTCCAGCCTTGACTGAGACCACTTTCTTGGTCAATGCCGAAGAAGGTTTCGCTCTTGCACCGGTTGCTGTCACACGTGAGTGTTAACTCCTCTGGAGAATATTATGAGCAGTAGTAATTACCTTTGCTTCAAACTGGTTAAATGTTAAAGCAATAGTTCACCCAAAATTCTGTCATCATGTACTCAACCTCATGTCCTTCCTAATCTATATGACTTGCTTTCTTTTGTGGAACATAAAGGAATATATTTTGTGTCCATACAATGGAAGTCAATGGTCACCAAAACTGTTTGGTTACCAACTTTATTTAGAATAGAAATATACATTTTTGTGTTCTGCAGAAGAAGACTGAAAGTGAGTAAATGATTTTACTTTTTCGGTGAAAAATCCCTTTATTGTTGGGGTTTTACCTGGTCTCATTAAGCCACTTGAGGGTGCTGTCGACAACCAAGAATAAAAATATGCACTGTAAGTTTTGTAGGCCAGATCATGGCAATGAATCAGCTGCTGCACTATGTACACAGTGCACAGCATATAGATTTTCTGTGTTCAAGCCAAGGAATATCATGATGACCTGCTATGTTTGACAAAAGGTGTAGTATGCAACCAGAGTAATATAATCCACAGTTTTGCATAACATTAGATCAAAAATAAAAAATGTGACCACTGTCAAGGTCAATGACGCAAGTGACAACACTATTCAGAGCTGGACAAAAATTGCAAACATTCTGAACTAAGATTTTGACATCCTACATCTCCCATTTCTTATATATATATTATTGTTATTATATAAATATTTATATATATATATATTAGGGCTGTCAGTTTAACGCGTTATTAACGGCGTTAACGCAAACCCATTTTAACGGCGTTATTTTCTTTATCGCGCGATTAACGGTCTTTTTGTCAAAGCAAACTTTGTAGTTTTTCTATGCGTCCGATCCATTTTGGCGTCTCGCGCTCGTCATCCACTCAAAGGCGGCTCGCAAGCCCAAACGTGTGTTTGCGGCGTGCCTGTTGTTTTGTTTCCGGTCTAGATCCGCTTGCGCTTTGGTCGAAAAAGCAACAAAATGTCCTCGCGCCGCGCAAGCCATTGAAATGAATGGGTTTCAGAACGCAGCGCGAGGACGTTTTGTGCCGCACACACACTCGTTTCGGCTTGCGAGCCGGCCAAATAGTAACGTTACGTTTTGAGTGGATGACGAGCGCGAGACGCCGAAATGGATGCCCTAACATTCTGAATGGAAAGTTTACTTTTAAAAAGTTGCCAAATTGTCCCATTGACAAGACCAAGTGATCTTGTGTTTTGTCGTTGTGAACTGAGCTATCATCATCGCAGCACGTCCAGTCTGAAACATCACTTGATGATGGCCAAGCAAACACGCACACACAGATGATGCGAATTCTCCACTTGATCTCTGATGGCATCATCAGTTAGTTCCTTTGACCGGGAACTAACAAAAAATGTGCGATTAATCGCGAGTTAACTATGACATTAATGCGATTAATCGTGATTAAATATTTTAATCGTTTGACAGCACTAATATATACATATATATATATATATATATTCTTATATGTGGAGAGTTTTCATGGCATCTGTTTGTATATAGTTCAGTGAGCCTTGATTTGTATCTGGTATGTTAACTTAAAATAAAAAATATTGATCACAAAAAAAAAAAAAAAAAAAATGTGTGATGGCAACTAAAAAACACTCACTGCATTAAGCATGTAACTTAGTGCGATTTAAATGTTTCCACTGGCTAATTTTAGCATTATACAGTACATACTGCTCAATAATCAGTACGCCAGCATTCCATTTTGAATCTAGGGATGGTCACAAATTTGCTAATTTTGTGTTCAGCATCTCCAACAAGGAAAAGAATGACGAGAAAGAGGAAGCTGGTCATTGACCGGTCAAAGGAACTAACTGATGATGCCATCAGAGATCAACTGGCTGACTGCTCTGACCTTTTAACCCCGTTGGAGATAGCCCCGCCCACTCGGCAGCTCATGGAGTGGAGGACGAATGGAGGGGTGAAGCAGCTCTTCTCGAGTTTTTGCCTTCCAATCTTACACCCTGACTTAAAGCAGGTAATGCACACCCATTCAGAAATGGCAGCAAAGCTCCGCTGAAGTGCACAGCTGTCATTATACTCTCAGTGTAGCATTAAGGCAGTGCATCATAGGAAAGCTTCCTTTCCCTCTATTTCCTCTAGCTGTTCCCTTGTGACACATCACCTAGGAGACAGGGCTTGAAGGGAGGAGCAAGACAGCAAGCTGACCCCGAAGAGATGAGAGAGCAAACTAGAGAGGGTAGGAAATCACATTGCTTCGGATAGAAACAGAGTTGAGGAAATTTTTTCATCATTTACTCCCTTGTTTCGCTCCAAACCAGTTTGACGTTCTTTCTGTTCCATTATAAATGTCAGAAATCATTAAGAGTATAGTTTGCCCATTAATTAAAATTGTCATCATTTACTCACCCACATTTGCAAAGCATGATCTGTGAAACATAAAAGAAGATATTTTGAAGAATGGGGGGGAACACTGTTAAGTAAGTCTTACATGGTTGGAATGACTTGAAGGTTGGTAAATGATTAAATTTTTTCGGCATCCATTTAACAGTTTTTGTGTCAAGGTAGCAAAATGTCTCCGGTGCACAGTAAAATTGAATTGAAAAGTCAAGTCACCTTTATTATATAGCGCTTTTTACAGATTGTTTCAAACCAGCTTTACAGTGATAACAGGAAAATAATGCAACAAAGTTTGTTTCTGCTGTACAGCGGATTTAGAAGAAAATAGTGTCATAGTCCAGCTTAAGTAAGTTCAGTGATGGTTAATTTGTTGTAAAAATGTTATCTATATTAGCCGCTCTGGAGAAAACAGTGATGTTATCGTCCGGCTTAGTTCAGTTAAGGGTGTTAAATGCTGGCAGATCAACAATATTGTTGAATATTAAGTGTCCCCAACTAAGGAAGCCAAAAGCCAAAGGCAACTGTGACAAGGAATCAAAACTCCATCAGAAGACTGAATAGAGGAAAAAAATTGTAAATTAATTTTATTCCAAGTATTCAGAAGTCATATATGACCGCATCATAGCACTGCCTTCTCAAAGCCTTTCTTGTGTGTTGCGAACACACAAGGAGATCAAGATATTCAGGGAATAATAATAATGACTTATATTGTAAATCTGCACATTATGCGAAAGGTTGTTGTGCTCCATGAAAGAAAGCAAGTTTAGAATGGCATGAAGGGGAAATCTCAGCTAATCCTGATTAATGTGTGTATACCTGTAGCTGTCTTGGAGAACACTGTTGAGCCGGTCCTGCCAGACTGGAGTTTGCTGCAAGAGTCTGTTGGACAAGATCAAGCAGATAATGCAAACACTACTGTAGAAACTTCTGTCATTCATCCAGAACCTCCTCCTTCCTGGAACACCACCAGTGTAAGAACGACACATGAGAACTGAGTTCAAGAAGTCAAAATTCAAGAAGTCACAGACCCTGTTTATTTGTTTTATTCAAGTTCTTGGTCTTATTTTGAACGATTCATTGATGCAAGTTCATAATCATTCATCAGAATAGATCTCCATCTCTGAAACAACTTTTGACCATTCTTTCACCCTTTTGGTCACAGGAGGAGAGTAGGTTGGAGGTGTCGTATCCAGAGCCTGTCTCTGAGATCTCCATGTTTGGTCATTCATCTGTAGAGACGAGGGAAACCCCACTGGTGACACAGACACAGGTAGTGCTAAACACTCAACCACACATAAAACACATTTTGTCTCTTCAACACAACCACATGTACTGATGATTAACTTTTTCCCGCCATTGGCAGAATTTATGTCACAACGTCATGTCACAACGCTCCACAACGCACAACGATTATAATCATTCAACATTACAGTATAAATGAAAGCTTTCAATTTTAACTTTGAAACAATTAACAATTTTAAGCTTTCAATTTTTATTTATTAGGCTTTACAAAATATAACATATTTTAAATTAAATTACCTTAGAACAATTGTCACATAAACCCACTATAAAAAATGACACGTATACCTCTATGAAGGCTCAACACTAAGGATTTTTTTTCTATTGGCCCAGTCAGACTGGTCAGTCCCATGGTCATTAGGCCATGACCCAATTTCTTTTTAGAAATTTGACCAAATATATATGTGTAATTGGTTTTAAAAAACCAAGTAAATATATTTTTAAAAAATTTTTTCCTATTCTCTTACACAAATTACGCTTCTGAACTCACCATCTATCTCCTGCGTAGATCAGTATCTACACACAGCAATCATAACTTGTCCCGTGCCGTTCTCTGTTGCGCAGGGTCCTGTGAGAAGAATACAGACCTCTATTTACAGCCTTTCCTGTGAAAATTTAACCAATGAAAAAATTAACCACCTGAGAGGTGGAACCAATGCTTTTGTTGCATCTGAATTTGCTGTATTTGCACTTAATTTCAGATTGATTTGGTTCTTTTCACACCTTTAAAACAGATCATAAATATTACCCATCAAACGATCTGAGCAATCCTTTATGGCTCTTATTATGTTATTCAGTGCAGCTGAGATGGTTTATACCAGGACACTATTATAATCATAAAATTCAAGCAGTTTCATTTTGTAAGTCTATCCTCCCGGCGAGCGGTTACAATTTTACTGTGGTGGTTGTTGTAATGTTGTAACGTATTTCATATAATGTCTCTAGGAATGGCAATAAAAAATAATTATTTTATTCAGCAAGGATGGCAGTAAAGACTTTTATAATGTTACTTAATATTTCTTTTTCAAATACATGCTGTTCTTTTGAACTTTATATTTATCAAAGAATCCTGAAAAAAAAACTGTGGTTTCCACAAAAATATTAAGCAGCACAACTGTTTTCAGCTCTGATAATAACATTTCAAATGTTTCTTGAGCACGAAATCAGCATAGGATTTCTGAAGGATCATGTGACACTGAAGACTGGAACAATACATGTAATATTTTAAAATATTACAGTTTTTACTGTGTTTTTGATTAAATTAAAGCCACCATTAGAGATCCCCTAGAATGTAATTAGATAATTATATATCTGGAATGTAATTATAATAATTATATTATAATTATTAAATTTTTTATATCATCAGTAATGTTAATGAAAAACGCATGAAAGGATAACACTTTTACAGTAGATATTTGCTGTTCATAGGGGTGTGTGTGTGTGTGCACGCACCTGCAGAACTTTTGACCTCTTACTTTTTGTCTGCAGTCAGCTCTGAACAGCCAGGATGTGGAGGATAAGAGACTAACCAGTCGGGCACATGACCTTCTCCAGGCCCTTAAAGTAAGAAACAATCAAAAGCTGTAGATGAGGATTTTGGAGTGAAGAATTAAGAGAATGAGAAATTACATGTATGGGTTCTGATGAGAAGAGTAGGCTTAATCATACTTGTCAACACTCCTGTCTTTCCGGGGTTGCTTTCGTTTTTTAGCCCTATCTCCCAGACCCCTCCCGGTTTGTTATTTCTCCCAGGAAACTCCTGAAATTTGCATGGCCAAAACTCCTTAATGAATAATCGAACCAATATGTTTCTCTAATGTTGACGAGTTGCCAGATTTGATTAAATGCATTATATTCACACAATCCACAGACCATTTACAATTTCAAACTGTTTGTCACCTCAACCTGGCAACCTATAACCCAGTCGCGGAAAGCTCAACCCGAAAGCGAGCCGATAGACATGATGGCAGGTGAAAGCGGTGTCCCCGCAAAGAAACTGATATAGGCTAAAGTTAACGTGTTGCTTCAGAAAGAATAGGGATAGCACACAACTGAAGTTATTGCATGCAGAGGCCAGCTAGACAGACTCACGGAGGCGATTGGCATCTCAAAACTCGCACTTTATTCCCAAATCGAACTTGTGCACTCGTAACTTAATAAACAAAATAAGCTAAAAATTAGCATCAAACAGGAATTATCCACATGGAGTTCCACTCAGTCCCAATCCCTCCCGCAACCACACATCATCGACAAATTTCCCAGATTTTGAAAACCAAATGTTGACAGGTATGGTTCTGAGGTCTGTTTCTAGCTTGTTCTTATTTTGTTTCTCATGTTTGGTTTGATTATTTGGATTTTGACCCCTGCCTGGAAGACAACGATTTGGATTACCCTATTAACAGACTACTCCTTTTGGATTTTCTGTTTCCTGTTTGTGATTCGTGACACATATTTGATTGCTTTCCAAAAAAAAAAAAATCTCTAAAGATTCCTTTCAAAAAGTCTGACCATCTTGAAATTCACTGTATAATTTGCATACTTAATAATGTGTTAGTGGATATATGCATGTTTTTGGTGTGAACTTGAACCAACTTCTCCTTTCTCTTCAGAGACAAGACTCTTCTCCCAATGCCTCGTACAGTCTTCACGCTTTATGTGAAAGCAGCAGCCGTTCATACGTGGCAGCTATGTTTTTCTGCTTGCTGGTGTTAAAGAAACAACAACTTCTCGACCTGCACCAGAGCGCCCCATACAGTGACATCATCGCCACACCTGGGCCTCTCTTTCACTCCCCCTAGAACAGGTAGCCATGAAGAAATTTAGGGGCAAAAAAACATTTGAGGCTTTGACTCATTAAAGGGCTTTGTTGTGTTATTCATGTTATTGGATGGAAACTAATTTGGTGAGTTTCTGTTTTAAAAAAAAAATTCAACAATGTGTTATGAATTCCTGTGCTAAAAACAATGAAATGCTTCTTCATAGTGTTATACTGTTTCTAATATATTATATATTGTTCTCAGATCTATATGAGCTGGCTTAATCATACTGTAAAGTAGCATCTGAGTAAATTGACCAATATTTGTTCATTATTGAAAAGTGAGTTGCAATGGCTTGAAAGTCGAGCATGAATAGTTATTAGTCTTTTCTTCCTTCAGTTTAATGTTGTAATAGTTATGTTTTAAAAACAGTTCTGCTCCGTGTTGGTTATTTTGATCTGTATTTTCTTTTCACACGATCCTTATAAACCATTAAATGTATAAATCAAATAAATATGGCAAAACTAAAAGGAAAAACAAAATCATTAACTCTTTCTCATGTTGTTACAAACTAAGACATGCTTTCACAGACACTAAAGTGGAAGTCTAGGAGTTTACTCTTAAAATGGGAGTGAATGGGGACTGATGTGAATCTCAGTGAATTGGGTGTTGAGAAAAATAGCATTATAAAAATGCAGCAAACATTAATGGATGGCAGTGTTCACTGCATGCACACTTAACCCTATAAAGCCTACTGTATCGTGTTTAATAAATTAATTTAAGGTCTCTAAATTATCGACATGATCAAAACTTTGCTGAAAATCTGTTGTACACAATCTAGCCTTCTGTAATACTTTTTTTAGCAAGTAAAAGGCCTTATACAATTTTACCAACAACGTCCCACTTTAGGTCGTGGTTCATGTGTCGTTTTGCTGTGGAATCTTAGTGAATTTTATAAAGCAAATGTATAAATATCTTATATATTGTTAGTAATATTTGAAGATGAACATTTACTGGACTGAAGCAACTTTGCTTTACTTGTTTATCCATACGTTATTTTTTATAGAGAAATTTTGATAAAATGTATCAAATACGATATATTAGTCTTTTGAGGAACGTTTATTTGTTCATCTCTCTCTATAATCATTGTATCGCATTGCATTTAGCCTCTTCCAATAAAAAAAAACAAACAAATATAATCTTAACATATTTTAATGGGAGATGTAACGTTACTGTAGTAACAAATGATGTTTATATACACTTATAATGATTTTATATATAATATAATCATTTGATATGCATTTATAACTGATATGGATATACCAGCCTACTCTGCTAAACTATGAAGATCTCATTTATTTACATTACAAGCTATAAGAATTTCATCTTACTTTTTGGCCTTATATCAGCACCAGTACAATTATTTTGCTTATTTTATTTTGCATAGGCATGTATATCTTCTGTTTTGATTGGTGTCCAACAAAATCAGTAGTTCAAGCCTTTGCCATAGACTCCCACTGATGAACGGCAATAAATAAACATTTAATCATGAAGAGTTTAATTACATGTTAAGCTGCCGACTGCCGTCTTAAAGTAATCCCCACTTGGGTTAACTAACGGATTAAAGGTTCAAAACCACTAAAGAAAGATATGTGCGCACAAATATCTGTACAACCACATCGGAAGATAACCTGATTCTCTGCGACCAGCTAATTTTATCCTTTTTTTTACATTCGTTTCCTGTCCCTTTAAGAATCGCCGTTGCAGCGTCACGCAAATGCGTCGTGTCTGCTTTCGCAGGTCTCGTGCGCGCGCTCTCATCAGCAGCATCCATCAGTCCCATCATCAACCAACCCGGGAGAAATGACAGCCAAGAACATCCATGAACAAACTTCACTGGGAATGGGAGACTGCAAGGCAGCGTCGACGGAAAAGCAGAGGATGTTAGTAACGTTCAACCAGGTCTTACTCTTCTCTCGACTTTCATAAACTCGTCTGTAATAATGTTATGATAGAGGCTAAATGTTCATCATCATAATTTGTGTATCATATATGTGCGTTTCTCGGCATAAAACAGTTTAGACTAAGCTTCTACAGCCTAATATAGTTTTGTGCCCTGCAAAACCAACGACGCACTGTTGCAGCGCCGCGTTTCGGTCTCAGATAGTATTCTGCTGATAATCACATAGGGTACTGTTGTTACATAAGACCGCTTGTGTCCTTTACGATTTACCTGCAACATATGGAGGGCGGTGACGTCATCACGCCCCGCTCCCACCGCGGGTCCTGAAACCATGGATGTAATAGCATATTTTAAATGTTTAAATCTTGGCTTGTGTTATTGTAGTACAATACAGGGATACGTCTCGGATATTTAAAATATGGTAGAAAAAAGCCCCTGCAGTGCCTTTTTCAAACTTTTATTTATATTAATGTTGTTTTTATTGTAGTCCTATCTTGCCATAGGCGAGTCTCTGCAGACACCAGAGTGACCTGTGACTGTCAGATAGTGTTCAGAGGCAAATGTTGTTGAATGTGTAGTAATGTCAAATGAAAGTGAAATCAGCCCTAAAAACATTGGATGGAGCTCCAAAACTCGACTGACAGCATTAAAAAATTACTGTGATCAAACAGAAAGACGAAACAGTTGTTTAAGCTGTGTTTTAGTTTTTACGGTGTCATGATCTTGGGCATTATTTACCGGGACTTTTGTATTAATGTTGATTTGTGAAAGGAATTGAAAATGTATTTAAATTTAGTGATTCAATTGAAGTCTATGACATTTCATGTTATATTTATTCATTTAGCAGACACTTTTATCTAAAGCGACTTGCGAATTCATTTTAAGGAGTGCTAGCAAAAGTTTCAAGTTATTCAGACTTGAAATATACTACAAAGTTTCAGATATTCAGAATAGTACAAGCTAGAACTAGCCTGGCTGCGCCCTCCTACGCACTTCCGCTCAATTTCATTTTCCTTCAGTACTTCTATGTACAAATGAAATGAACATGGAGGGATTCATAAATAATGAAAGAATAGAAAGAATAGTCATTTTTTTGAATATTGTTAGGGATTGGGCTCTCCAATATAATGGAGACCTTTTAATTTCACATAATAAATATATATAAAATGCTGAAAATTCATTAAAAGGAGCAAATATTGCCCCTTAAAATGTTAATTTCTTACACTTATAGTACCAATAGCGAAAGTTCTAATTTGTATTTTTCTGATGTGTATTTTCAATACACATATTGTCAGCAAAACATTTGGGCATGGATTTAGGTTTAAGACATTCCAAAAAACATCCGCCTATGTGTATAAGTCCCTTTTATTTTTTATAGGGCTTTATACAATATTGTTTCAAAGCAGCTTTACAGCATTAACAAGAATATAACAGTCAATGTGGAAAACGATCAAATTTGAGAGAATTACAATTTAGCTGTAGAGCTGCTACCAAGAACAATGGTGTCTTTATTCAGTTCAATGTTGATTCAGTTCAGTTCAATAACAGTGTCGATGTTGGTGGTTTTAGGATCACGTTTTGTGTCTCAAGTGTCACAAATAATGTCTCATTCAATAAACCCACAGATTTAAAGGGTTAGTTCACCCCACAAATGAAAAATTCTGTCACTACTCACTAATTACTCCCTAGTAATTAGTAATTACTCTCCCTCATGTTGTTCAAACCCCCGTAAGGCTTTCTTATATTATATTTTTGATTAAATCTGAGCTGGATCACTCCTCCATAGGCTTCTTAAGGGATCGAAACTGGCTGGCCCAAAAGTTATGAAAGACATCGGTAAAATAGTCCGAGTGATTAGAGTGGCTCATGCTTAAAGGGTTAGTTCACCCAAAAATGAAAATTCTGTCAGTATTTACTCACCCTCATGTTGTTCCAACCCTGTAAGACCTTCGTTCATCTTCGGAACACAAATTAAGATATTTAAGGTATTAAGATCGCTCCTGCATACTAGTCCATAGGCTTCTTGAGGGAATGACACTTGCTGGCATCGAAAAGTCATCAAAGACATCGTTAAAATAGTCCAAGTGACTACAGTGGCTCAATCTTAACTTTATCAAATGACGAGAATAGTTTTTGTGCGCAAAAACAAACAAAAATAACGACTTTATTTCAACTATTCACTTCCTTCTCTATGGGCCTGTAGTCAGTTAACGTAGTGTGATTGCGTAGAGCTACGTCACACGTAGGCTCACTATTGGCCGACGCTGGTCATGTGTGTGATGCGTGTGACGTACAATAACAGAAGCTTACGCTGTTACACTAGTAACCTGACTCGAGGCAGAAGGAGAAATAAACGAATAGTTGAAATAAAGTCGTTATTTTTGTTGTTTTTGCGCACAAAAAGTGTTCTTGTCGTTTGATAAACTTAAGATTGTGTCCCTGTAGTCACTTGGACTATTTTAACGATGTCCTTTAATGACTTTTCGAGGCCAGCAAGTCATTCCCTCAAGAAGCCTATGGACTAGTATACAGGAGTGATCTTAATATCTTAATTTGTGTTCCGAAGATGAACGAAGGTCTTACGGGGTTGGAACAACATGAGGGTGAGTAAATACTGACAGAATTTTCATTTTTGGGTGAACTAACCCTTTAAGAGTTTATCAAACGACGAGAACAATTTTTGTGCACAAAAAACAAACAAAAATAATAACATAAACATGGTAACTGTAACATAGTAACATAAGAAATGTGGCAAACCAAACTAGAACAGAAATGTTTGAGGGGGTTTGTTTAGGACGGTGAAGATGGATTTGACGCTTCAGGCTGGTTTTGGAACATATGGGTTCATAGTCTCCAGATATTGTGTCTGTGTCAATGTTAATCATAAGACCTTATGTTGTACACTGTCCTGAACTGAACCCTGTTGTCTGACAGATGCCCAGGGGCTAAATATGCCACATCATACACATTCTGCTTATTTACTGTGGAGGGCTTTTATTTTTCAAAAAGAGTCAGGAAATGTTATCATACTTAAAGAATTATGAATTCCCTTTTTTCTTTGCTGATGACAGTGCAAATTCTCAGCGAATCAATTTATTTGTCATTTCACATTGTGGACTGAACTAAACAATTCTCAGAGATGCAGAATCAGTCCGATCCAAATATACTGCGTACAAAGGGCCCACTACCATTATTACATTTATGGATGACAGGAGATTCTTGGACAAGTTGAGTATTCTGAGAACATTCATCAAATATGCATAAAAATAATCTAGACGCACATGAATCTCTTAGTTCACACTAGCTTTGTCATCATGACATCCAGTGTTATGTCAGTCACACACACTTGTCACTCATGTCACCATATCATGCACCGGATAGACAATCAACGTTTCTGTCAGTGTGTGAATAGCTCAGTGCAAAGTGTGAAAGAATCTGTCCGCTGTATACATGATGTGTGAGTGCCTTTGTCTAGTTCATTTTGTGTATTGTTCTGAATGTTTGGTTTACATTAGCATTTATGGTCTTGTGAGTCATGTGGCATCCAGAATGAAATGCTCTCTGTTGGATTGTGTTCAGCATCTTGAGAATCTAATATTGTCTGGCATGTGTCTTCATGGGTTTGGTATTGTAGTGCGATGCAAGGTTACAGAGTATCCTAATAAACACTTGTGTTTGTGGCTATCAAATAGCCACAGCAGCTTATAGTTCAGCCTTTTGTGTTATTGTAAACTGTCATGACTAGCTTTCTACAATGGAACACAAAAAGAATGGCAGAATGGCAGTTCTCCTCTGGCCAACAAACGAACAGTGTATGACTTATGACTGCTGACTGCAGTAAACAGGAAAGGGACTGGTTGACACTTCAGGACTGCATTGTCGTCGTGTCCAGGCCAGACTGTAAAAAGTATGGACAAAGCGTTTGTGACGCCACCCACTTTCTGAAGAACAGTCCTGGGCTGTTTATTGGGGGTATGGGCGGGGCCATACTGGAAAATCTTGGGAAATACAAAATACAAATGTTCAGAAAGTATATAGAGGTGGTATAATGTTTCAGATCAGGGCCGAGACGTCAAATTCCACTCTGCGCAGCCTGTTATCAGCTGTCAATCAAAGTTAACTGCCCTTATTTGTCATACATTGTGTATCTAAATACGATCTAAACTAATGAGTTAGAAAAATTCACCCCCCTTACAGTTGTCAGGTACTCGGAGCCTAACGAAAAATACAATAAAAGTCCATGGGACAAAACTGTAAACATATGAATTTATGCTGTGAAAACGGATATTTTAACATGACGTCTATGGATATTTGCTCAATTTTGGGACCGGCCACTAGCAGATTTTAGATGTATTGCAGTTTTTCGCACTTCCAGGTAGGCTTAATTTTTCAGATTAGAATTTTGCCGCTTGGTCCAGGCGCAGGTCCTGCATCAGATCTGGATCCGGCGGACTGCGGTAAACCTTGGATAAACAGAGAGACTAATATATTAGCGTAGACGCCATCCTTCGTATGATGTAACAAGTACATCAGGATTTATGGGTAGTGTTCCCAGTTCTGGCTGACCTAATCTATGCAGTCTAATATTGAATTCTATTGTGAAGTATTGAAGTGTGTTTTTAGTCTAGATTTGAACTGACAGAGTGTGTCTGCTTCCCGGACAATGGTAGGAAGATTGTTCCAAAGCCATTTAGTGTAGAGCCCGACCGATAAAGGATTATGAAGGCCGATACCGATACAAATATTTTTGGGTTTTAAAATCCGATATTCCGATATATCGGCCGATATTTATTTTTTTCAGAAACGCGCAACACAACATTAACAGATTTCCCTAACTTTAGTTATTTGTAGTTATTTATGAGTTTTAACTAAAATAATATGCTAATGCACTTTAAAAAGAAACTTGTTTCTTTTATTGTCACAACAGAACAAACTGATGATAGTGGCATTAGCTAGCTTTATGGTTAGCTAGTCTACGATGAGCTATAATTTAGCAATGGATAATGTCATACTGCAAATAGTACATTGTACATTTTCAATATAACAGGCCAAGGAGAGATGATACGTCTCATTGATATAACGGTCACGCGCTATTAAAGAAATACTTCAGTCACATTGTCAAAATTTAAAAGGACACTCAGTCAACTACACTGTAACAAGGTACCGTAACTATTACTAGCTAATTCCGCTTCACTCTCGGCTTATTTAACAGCAGCAAAACTGGACATGATAGTCACAAATTTTGTCATGCTTATTTGAGTTAAGAGAAGTGATGCGGATGTTCTTTTAATTGCTATTCAAGCAGTGTTGTGTGTTGCCAACAGGAACGGTGTAGAGTGCCCTCTGGTGGACAAACTACAAAACTCTAACTCTCACGACATGGTTCAAGCGTGTTTTGTCCGTTTTTATTTTATTTTTGAAATATTCATTTATCGGCCATTATAACTGCCGATAGTAGTTTGGAAAATGCCTAATATCGGCCGATAATATCGGTCTGGCTCTAATTTAGTGCTTTGTTGCTTATCAGCAAAATTTTAAAATTTTAAAACCACTTCCTGGTTCTAGACCACCCATAATAGCATTACAATAATCTAGCCTTGATGTCATGAACGCATGAACTAATTGTTCTGAGGAAGTTTTTTGTCCAATAATTAGAATCTCTGTTTTTCAGAATGAATTAGTAGGAAGTTGCTAATCATCCAGTTTTTTATATCAGATATGCATTCCGTTAATTTTGTGAATTAGTAAGTTTCATGAAAAAATATAATAACAGTGAAATAATAACAGTGAAAACTAATGTCATGCTTCCTATCTCCTTAGGGTAGCATATACAGGGTGAACAGCAGCGGTCCTAGTACTGAGCCTTGTGGTGCGCCATACTGAACTTGTGATCGATTAGACATCTCTTCATTTACTGCTACAAACTGATAATGGTCAGATAAGTATGATTTAAACCATGCTTATGCATTTCCACTAACGCCAACATAATTTTCAAGTCTATTTAAAAGAATTTTGTGGTAGTGTCAAATAAGATCAAGTAACACTAATAGAGAAATACAACCACGATCGGATGATAAGAGCAAATAATTTGTGACTCCAATGAGAACTGTCTCAGTAGACCATCTAAATTAGTTCTAAATAGAAACATATGTAGTGAGGATAATGCCTTTTCTAGTATCTATGACAGAAAAGGTAGATTCAAGATCGGCCTGTAATTGACTAAATCTGTAGAAAATTGTGTTTTTTAACAAGCAGTTTAATCATAGCCAGCTTAAAAGTTCAAAGGAGGAAGCTCAAAGGAGGAAGCTGGTAGTCAATGAGGTGCGAAAGCAGGAGGAGAGGATGAGGTGTATAAAGGCCATTTCCCAGGCCAAGCAGGGAGAGTGGATGAGATGGGAGAGTGTGGAACAACGCAAGATGGGCTGGCAAGACCTTTTGTCAATGGAAGAGAGTAGGATCAGTTTTCTTATTAGGTCAACATATGATGTTCTCCCATCACCGCAGAACCTAAACCTCTGGGTAGGAGAGGATCACTCTTGTCCTTTGTGTTCATCACCTGCCACATTAAGGCACATTTTAACAGGATGTAAGGTGACTCTTAGCCAGGGTCGGTTTAAAGGCAAGCGCAGTATGAGCAATAAGTTGCCGCCTGTTCTAGCAAAACATTACACGCAGAAGACAATATTCCTCTGCCCAGGCGAGCAACCACCAAGAAAAGATGTTAACACCAATTCTCACTGGATGTTAACTAGGGATGGGCTTTCGATTAAATTTTCTTAGTCGATCGTTGGAAGAATTAACAATCGACTATCGATTAATCATTAAAATTTTTACATTCAAATTTATTATTTATTTAACTTAGCATAAATCTCATTCACTGCTTTTTCAGAATTGAAAAACTTCCATTTTCCGTTAATCAGAATCAATTGAAAAACTGTTTTCCGTTAATCATCATCATGTAGTGCAGCCCACATGCAGAAACACACATAAAAAAATGTATATAATTCATGAAATTATATCATAGAGAGGAGCCCCTCATGTGTGTCAAGGTCAGTAACTCTTTTAAAAATATAATCTGAACATTTTGTATTCCATTAAAAAGATCCCTGTCCAAGAGACCAATGTCTCATCTGTGGTGTATGTGTGTTTCAGAGAGATCTGTCCTGAAGAATCCTTGTAATTGTGCCGTTACAAGGTGCCAGTCCTTACCCATGTCCCTCCCCGTGAACCGAAGACCATCTGCTGGTTCCCGCAAGTAATGCTATCCGCCTTCTTTTTCATGCATAATCAAACATATCAATAGTTTTCTGATTATTGTGATGCGATAGATTCATTAAGCACCAGTAGTGTGAATTCCTTCAAAAACACATCCTGACACCATGTTTGAAATGGACATCAGAGCTCAGCTGTCACTGTGTGTGTGTGTCACAGAAGGTCTGCTGCCCCAAGCAGCACTCGACACTCGCTTGGGGACTCGACTGTCCGTAGCAGTTACTCAACAGCATCCTGCAAGTGCACAGAGAGCAATACTGTACCACGCTCCAACCCAGCCACACCACGGTGAGCGGCGCACACACTCGAAGGCAGATTAGATTTGTCTTCCATTAGGGTCGTGCTCCAGATTTCGTATGGTGGCAAAAAGTACAGTACAAAAATAGAATTAATGAAACAGACATGACTATATCCATTTATAAGTCTGGTTACTTGTGTCTAAACCGGAAATTCTGAAGTTCTGAAATGCAGAAATACTGATGTTATTGTGCATGCTGGAATAGTTCACATAAAAAAATCTAAATTATTAAAGGGTAACTAAACCCCTGGTCAGAGCCCGACTCCACCCACTAGCAATATTTGAAAAATGCTGAAAAAATGGGCAGACCCCAGCGGGGCCAGGGGGCGTGCACCTGAGACCCGCCGTGAGTGACAGCTGCTGTCAGACTCTAAAATAGAGCGAGACTAGAGTGACGCAAGTAGCTGCCTTTGCAACAGAGCGGACATTTGAAGTCGTGGACTTTTCTCCCTCACCTTCACCTGAAGTGGATGAGGGTGAATTGTATGTAGACACAGGGCCAAATCCATTCGAGCCACTGGCTCAAACTGCGGTCTTAACTCCCGCATCGCGACCGGCATCTGATGAGTTTTGTCGTCGAGTTGATCTCAATAGCGCGCGCTCTGTGGGCATGTATTCATATTGATATTCTGCCGCTATGTGAAAAAATCCAGCAAAATGCACCCGCTCGTTTGTCGACCCCAGAGGATTAACTTTATCCTAACCATAAATTGTGATTAAAATATCCATGATCACTCACATCAAGACGCCGCTGTGTGGAGAAGCCCATGTCCACCTCTATTCCGTTACTATCCTGATCGTGATCACTGTACTAAACACTGATAAATCTATGCTAACTTGAAGCTATCCTAACTGTACTATGCTACTAGAGCACTAAATAATCTAAATTATCTATATAATGCTATGCTAAATAGATGCAACAATACTCTATCCTGATTGTTTTCAAAAATAATCTAAATAACTATATAAATGCTATGCTAACTAGATGCTAATATATGCTATCCTGATCGTTTTCAATACTCATAACTCGCTACAGTAGTTTTGACGGAACCAGATGCTTTTATACCAGGGGCTGCCAAGGGCGTGGTGAGCTCGCACCAAGGGCGTGACAGAGTGGCGTCTGAGAGTTCCCTACGTCAGAAAGTACCCCTACTGCAGGAGCTTTCTGTTTAACCTGAAGAGGGCAGCACTCAGACGTTTTTACACCATATATTTGAAAATCAATACACTTTATACTCAATTGTCAAAAAATGTACTCGAATCAATGAACAGCATTTATGAAGCTCCATTCTTACAGATCATTAACTAAAAAAAGTTGTTTTGGTGTTTAGTTACCCTTTAATTTACTTTCCCTCATGTCATTCGGACCTCTGTAGAACACAAAAGGAGATATTTTGTAGAATGACCTGCTCTTTTCTATGTGAAGGTGAATGGGGACTGGGGCTTTTATGCTACAAAAAAGGACAAAAAAGCACCAGAAAAGTGACATGTATGGTACGCATACTCAGAATTTGCCCTTTGTCCATTTGTCCTGCATTTAACTCATCCAATTTATTGCAGTTAGTGCATACATTAGGAGTAGTCAGCAGTGAACACACACACTGCAAACCGTGGACACACACGAGAGCTGGAAGCAGTGGGCAGCCATTTTTTTTCTGCGGCGCCCAGAGAGCAATTGGAGGTTCAGTGACTTGCTCAAGGGCATCTCAGTCATTTCCTGCCCGTATTGAGGATCAAACCTGCAACCTCCGGGTTACCAGTCTGACATTCTAACCATTAGGGCACAACTGCCCATGAAATATAATTCATACTCGAAAGCTACACTGCCTTGTTTTTCTAACCCTAATTGATGTAGTGTGTAGCTTTTCAATTCACCTTTGGCTAAGCCACGCCCTAGAATGCAGATTGACCAATCACAGCGCAGCCAAGAACGAGCTCCCACACAGACTCCAACACTTTTTCACAGCGCTCCATTGACTTTCAACACAGGCGTCTCATATTTTTGGCTATTACCGTCGTAGTTTTATCCAAAATATGGTTAAACGTTGTGCAGCACAGATGCGCGTTTCCCAGAGAGGTTGGAGGGGGGTGTCCGTTTTTTTCCCTTCCCAAAACCGAAGTCAAATCCTGACAAGTGTCGTGTTTGGATAAAAATGTGTGGACGTCCTCAGTCAGATAAACCCCCAAAGATCAACAAGCACATCTTTTTTACTTCTAACCTTATTGTGAAGTTATAATTGTTAGACCGTTTTATAATGTTTTAGGTTATGATTTCGGTTCTCATACCGGTTGTTGATACGCTAGCACACGCTGCTAATAAATACAACGTTATACTCGTGTAGTCCGTTTGCTTTGTAATAACGATTATAGAAGTGAATAGAGACCTACCCAGCTTTGCATACTCCCCCAAGAAAATGTGGATTTCTCAGACCTACATGTGTGCATTTTAGGGTGTTTAAAGGTCATAAAAATGGTATAACAATAGCTTTAAAAGTATGTCAGTGGGCACTGGCAGTAGCATAAAAGATGACAGATTCTTAAATATGAGAATGAGGATAAATGTTGAAATGAATGATCCACGCTTGGATGCAAATGCAGAATGTTTCTGCTTATTGTTGACAATACACAATCCATATTCCTAACAGGAATGGCCTTAATGAGAAATCTTTCAAGGATTATTTTGCATAGCCTAGATGAATTTCAATCAAACACCAGTGCAATCTTTTTGTGTCCAGACGAAAATGAGCAATTTATATATTAGCATTAAAGATTGGTTTCAGCAACTTGTTTCTTTCTAAGGTTAGATAATCAATTTTTTGGCACTAATCTGTTAAGTTAAAGTTAAATTGTTCACTCATAAAGACAGTCACTTGTCGCCACCTACTGACTTACTTAATATTGCAAGTTGGGCAAACAGACAAGCAGAGTGATAAATTGTGAAAAGGCTGATACTGGTGAAATATTTTAAAACACATTCGAGGACCATACAAATAAAAATGTTATACTAAATATATATTTATAAATATATATTTATATACTAAATATATATTTATACTAATGAATTGAGCTTATAGTTTATGTAATTAGCAAATAACATCTGTGTTAAATAGTAATATATTGTAATAATGTTAATCAAGCTGACTAAATCACATGACTGCGATGTTAATTCTCCATTTTCAGTGTATGTTTTATTAAAAAAAAACGCCGATTAAAAGTCGTATAAGCTCGCGAGATAAAAAGTGACATCGGTTACAATAGGTAGCTAAAGTTAGACAGAAATGGTGATGCTAGCGATATGATTTCCTAACCTGAAATAAGATAGGAGTTAAAGGGTGTATTGGATGGGCTTTTATTGCGGGTTTGGTTTTATTTGTTGGAAAAATAAATATAGAAATATAATTTGACACAAGAGGGCAATATAGCCCTATTTATGGTTTTGAGTTAAACCGTGACATCTACACGTTTTCCAAATTGGACCAACGTGATTATTTCATGTCTTGTCGTGATACGGTTTGGGCACTGAAGTTACAGGAGTTTATTCTCGTTGCTAAGCAATGGAACTAGGTCTAGTATTTAAAAGGTTATGGTTAACACGGTTAACGTGGTTTAACGTCGATGTAATACGTTGTTTTAGCGTACCTTTTGCTTAAACGAGGAGCTGGGGGACGCCGGAAAAATAGACATTTTACTCATTAGGCTGCTTCATTAAAAACGTGACATTTAGACGTTTTCTTCGGAGTGGATCCAGGCAAATGAATCCTTTTCACCTTGAAAATAATATATATATATATATATATATATGAAGAGTTCAGATGCAAAAGCCTCTAAATGCCATTTGAAATTTTCTTCTTTAATGATGATTTTTATCAAACTTGTATATTTAAGTTCAGTAATTTCACTTAAATGGCAATGATAATTACCTATTAATTGTTATATAAGTGAAATTACTGAACTTAAATGTACAAGTTTGATAAAAATCATCATTAAAGAAGAAAATTTCAAATGGCATTTAGAGGCTTTTGCATCTGAACTCTTCATATATATATATATATATATATATATATATATACATTGCATTTTAAATAATAGAACATTTCTCAGTGATCGTAAATAAAACAAAATTCCATTTTCTCAGTTTAATGAAAACCAATAGGTCGTGATGGCAGAGGCGAATAAACATCCGGATATCTCTCCAATGGAGCGTGTTAACGCAAACGTGTAAGTTTCACGTTTGAGGGGGTTAAACCGTGACATCTACACATTTTCCAAAGTGGACTATTTAGGCTGCTTCATTAAAAATGTGTCATTTAGACGTTTTTTTCAGCGTGAATCGAGGCAAATGAATCCTGTTCACCTTGAAAATAATAAATGTTTTTTGCATTTTAAATATTAGACCATTTCTCAGTGATCGTCAATAAAACAAAATTCCATTTTTCTCAGTTTAATGAAAACCAATAGGTAAGTTTCAGTTTAAGTGTAAGTTTCACGTTTTAGGGGGTTTAAACCGTGACATCTACACGTTTTCAAAAGTGCACCAAAGTGATTATTTCACGTCTTGTCACGAGACCGGGTTGAAGAAATATTGTTTAGGCCACTTTTGTTTGATATAATCACAACAAATTAACGCAAGTATGGGAATTGAATTCAGGTCTTCTTGATTAAAGCCCAACGCTTTATCAACTGAGCCACTGCATCTGTTGAGTTCAAGGGTGTATTGGGCGGGCTTTTATTGCGGGTTTGTTTTTATTTGTTGGAAAAATAAATATAGAAATATAATTTGACACAAGAGGGCAGTATAGCCCTATTTATGGTTTTGAGTTTAAACTAAACCGTGACATCTACACGTTTTCCAAAGTGGACCAACGTGATTATTTCATGTCTTGTCGTGATACGGGTTGGGCACTGAAGTTACAGGAGTTTATTCTCGTTGCTAAGCAATGGAACTAGGTCGAGTATTTAAAAGGTTATGGTTAACAAGGTTAACGTGGTT